CCCCTCCATCTTCCGACCCTGTTTCCGTTTACTTTATCCACTTTCGAATCATTCTATTTTCCTCGCTACACTCCTTGTTCTCGCTATGCGGCCTTCCCTTTTCCATCTTTCTTGCCGCTGGTTCCGTTTTCTTTAATTAATTCTCACCTAACCTATCTTCTTCCTTCTCTTATTTACACTCGCTACTTTTCACCAACAGTCGTGCTTTTGCCTCTTGCCTGCCAATTCACTGCTGTTTTTGTACGGTTTAAATGTTTATTTCCATCGTCAAACTCGATTCTCTATCGAAATAAATATTTCTGATACTCTACGAGTTTTATCTTTATCCTTTCACGCACTTGTTGTTGCTTCTGACTTTAATTAATCTTTGGTTCGCGTCGTTTTCTCCGACGGATTCCGAATCCGAAGGATTCATTTTACTTATTCTCTGCAAAGATTTTTATAATGCAATTAGATAGGTTAATTCAATATCCACCGTACTTTATAATATGTATTTTAATAAAATATTGTATACAGAATAATTTCCAAAACTTACGATCACGTGGTTTATATTTGATTAATACTTTATTCGTTGCCTCCACAAGCCCTTTCGTTATGGTACTCTCATAACTGAAAACATTGGTATACAGACAAAGAAGAATTTCGTACGAAATAAGTGAGGTTATAAACATTTAGTTAATTACCGCAGTTTCGTATAATTAATTACGACATAATGCACGTAAATAGGAATAAAGATTATTTTCCGTTTTAGAAAAGGTCCTCGCATATACACTTTTAGTAAGTATAAACGTTCTTTGTGGCAGAAAACGTCGAATGAAATCCTTTTCCCTTTGAGGTCTCACCAGCATTATTTTTTCTTCCGACCATTCCGTCGCTCACTGTCTATATTTCCCCAGACGTTTCCCGTTTTGTTTAAACAGCAATAGTTTTCCAACTTGCGTGTATCTTGCTCCGCTGCTGTATCGGTTTCTATTTTACGACGGTCCCTATAGTAGCCGCCTACCACGCTCAGTCACCAACCAACCTTTCACAAAAGCAAACGTGGTTATTTCGGGCGTGAAAATTCGTAGTATCCTTCCAATCGGTAATGCAACGCCGCGCTAATCCCAAGATGCTTCGCGTGATCTCGATATTTCCGCAGCGTGACGGTTGACGCCTCGGCGAAGCGCAACGAAAACACCCGACGTTAGCCGATAAATCAAACCGAGCGACAGAAACGAATTCGCGTAGTTCGCGCACGGCCGGAATAAGTTGCGCCAGCACGAAACAAATCACGGCCGAGCAAACTGGCCGTTTCCGGTGGATCCTGTTTTTGTTTTTCCTCGTTTCGTTTATACTGCTTCGTGCACGGCCAACGACAGCCCCGCGTATAACATTTTCAATGTTTTTTTGAATTCTCCCTGTTCACGCTACGCGTCGATCGATCGTGATAAAACAGCCGGAAAAAATTCACCCTTCGATGCACGAAAAGCAATACAGCGTGGCGTGTGTACGAAAGAGGTATTAACGGTTATAGACAATCTTTTTTTATTACATATATCAATTTCGGTGCTCGTTATTTCTGATATTTATACTTATTCCGGGGCAGTATTTTGCTGTAATAAATAGAAAAATACGTTACTGCTTTTCGAATATACAGAATACGTGCAGGAAAATATAAAATTTTGAATAATACACGTATAGAAATTTTGGAAGAAATTTAAGTTCACATTGAAATTGTTTACGAAATATTGTAAGTTTATGTGTACTATTTTCAATAATAGCGAGGTTAACTTGACATTCACTACAATCATAGCTATAGTGTCTTAACTTAGATTTCGATTTTTGACTCTTGAAACAGCCTCTCGTTTTATTTGTTTTAATACTGTTCGTAGTTCGCGAAAAGCAAGCAAACTTTCGTTACGCGATATCAGTCGTCGTTATTCGCGCACGTATATCGTTCGACTCTCTCTCTCTCTGTCTCTCTCTTTCTCACTCTCGCAGCTATATCACCTCCGTCAATCACTTGAGAGCGACACTATGCTGCACGACTGTTTCTCACAATTAAAGTTTACAATATTGGTATTCGTTATATATGGGTAATATATTCTTCTCATTTCAGATACGAGCAATTTATGTAGTCATGTATCACGGTAACCTTGAAACTCGAACTTTTCGTTATTTGGTTCCCGTCGCCAAGTCAAACATTCTGCCACTGCGGAAAGAGGTATCCCCTCGTTGATACTAGGAAAAATTGTCTTGCTTTGTGTGTCTTTCTCCGAGCAAATATTCATAGCAAAATTTCCATGCCTTTACACAATGTTCACGGTGTACTCCATCAAATTTTAACAGGTGTGTTCTTTAACACGTGTCAAACTTTTCTTTCTCATATATCTTTTGTATATTTGTACACAAATCCCAGAAGCACATATGTATAGAATTTTTTCATTTAAAGGTATAATGGAAATTTGGAAAAAAAATACACAGACCACTAATTTAATAGTTCTATTAATGGTGACATAACCTCAATTATCACAATATGAACCACGACGTAACGAAGTTATAAAATCAGTCAGGACTTAAAATAACATTCAAACTGCATTCTTTGAAACATTGCGATCATAATTTTGCATTTATGTATGTGATCTGTCGATATCCTTCACTGTGACATTAAAGGTAACCGTCCATTCTGTCTCCACAAGTTCCAGCAATAGCGGCAATTATGTGAATGTACATGCATGTGTGAGATGAAATTGAGAGTGGGAAAATTAGTCTCGCTGCAGTATTTAGGTGGCAGCACTATTCCTTTCCTCTCTAACAAAAGAATCTTCTCTACACGGTGACGGGCAGGGCCGTAATATTTATAAGAATATTATTCATATATTTAATTTAATACACAAAGTAAAGAATTTATACATTTTTATTACATGATTGCAGATGATGAAAGACTATCGATTACAAGGTACCATAAAGCAGAATGCGATTACAACACACGATACATATAGGAAATCAAGTTCCTTGAACAAAGTTGCTCCATGGAATTTGAAAATTTCCAATCACTGTTTCACGTGCTCTCAGTTAAGGTAACCGCAATGACTACCGATTAAATTTCCATACTACCAAAAACGTACACACGCACCATTTCCATATCTAACATCTATTCGATTAATAGGGGAGATCATGGCGGATAGTTGGAAAGCGATGACCACGATGCTGCATGGAGGCAACGGTGTATGTTTAAATACTCGTTCCTAGCCGATAAGAGGTTGCTGTCGTTGACTTTGATTGCACCATTATTCCAGCGTCGTAAATGGTCAGCTTGGTGCGAGGGAAAATGGTAATGAGCGGGCCTATAATCGTTCTTATCCGAGGTGTATGCACACGCGCGCGTGCTCACGGCTGACAGGATAGGCCAACAAGAAGAATCGTCGACTGAAAGAAATTATATTCCGGAATGAGCGGATAAGACGAAACGGCGACTGTTAAAAATGAGCCCCGTGCCACAGCTTTCCGCACGTTTCATTGAAAAATTTTGCCCGTTACCATTGTGCATCTGCGATCTCGCGTCGAGATTTTCTCCCGTGCTTTCTGGTATTTATTCCTGGAAAATACCCCGCTGCGAAACCCTTTTAGCCCTTTATCGCGTGGAGATAGGGTCATTCTGCAGTCCCGATAGGATTCTCAATATATTTTTCGTAATTTAGAATTTTTCGAGGTGTTTTATTGTTAACTAGAAAAAATACATGTGGTCTTGGATAAAAGAAAATGAGATATGATCTTTGTAGAGAAACTGCAACAATATTGTATAATATGACAATATTCTCTACAATATTTCATATTTGCTTCTTTTATTGACTAAATTTGTTTGTAAGTATTTGTGTCAGGATAAATGATTTTTTCTTCTCAGATTTTTCTTTACAAGTATTAATTTTTTTTCTAGGTATTGTTAATAAGAAATTGCTTAAATCGTAAAAATATTTGATATAAATGAATTATGGCAATTTGAATGCTAAAAGCATAAATAAAGTTCATAAATTATTATATTTATCGTTAGTAACAAATTAGTATTGTTAATAACAAATTGTTAACGACGTGTATTTGTAACAAAAGTGAAAAAAATCATTAAATTATTGTCTACTACATGAATTTATATCTTACTTGTGTAAAAATGTATCTACAATTTGCAAAAAGTTTATAAATTATAACACTAATTGTTAATAACAAATTAATATTGTTATTAACAAATTATTCGCAACGTATATTTATAGTAAAAGTGAAAAAATTAATAAATTATTGCCTATGAAAACGGAAAATTATCAATTAATAAAATCGGTAAAGTTCGAAAATTTCTGATAGGGGTGGGGAGGTCGGCCGATCGTTGGCTATATAAGGGGCAACGCGACTGAGCGACACTCATTTGTCGGTCCGACTTCGGAAGTGTAACATCAAAATTTTCGTTGTACGCGAGGGGTGGAGGTTCGAAATGAGGTTCAGGCTGGCCACCCGACCCTCATCCCACCCCATTAAATAATTTACTAATAATTTTTCTTTTGTTTTCAGATATTAATTACCTTTTGCTTTCAGGTTTTAATTATTTTCTCACTTTCCAGGTTTTATTTTTTGTTTCTATTTATTTTTGTTCGAATATTTCGTATAATATTCAAGTGTTTCATCGTTGGTTTATTTATGTATCATCGTTGGCTAGATCAGTGGCTAGCCGATAGCCACTGTCCACTCCATCCACACTCCACCTTCTTATTTAATTTAATAACTTTTTTCAGGTTTTGTCGTTTTAGATTTTATATTTTCGACTCTCTATTTATTTTTATTGGTGCATTCGAATATTTCGTATAATATTCGAATGTTTCTTCGTTGGGTTGTTTATGTCTCATCGTTGGGATGTTTGTATCCCATCGTTGGGTTCTTCATATCACATCGTTAGGTTGTTCATTCTATTTAATTGATATTTATGGTTTATATGTGTTTCACTTTTATTATGTTTTACTAATTTGTTACTAATCTGTTTCTTTTTAGATTTTCAAGATTTTTAAGTTTATCAAGATATCGTTGGACGACGTGGGATGCGTGCGTTTAGATCTAAGTAGTTATAAGGAGGCTAAGATAGATCAATAGACTAAGTTTCATGTGCGTGCTATCCGTTCAAAGGTAAGCCACCTAACTTGGAGCGGAATATATCAATTCTCTTACCCTCTCGTTTACCAAATAGAACATAATTGTTCTCGCGATAATCGCGATCTTTCGTAAGTACCGACTAGCCTACGCGACGTGCTCTCGTGTACTCGATAAGTACATGCTTCATAAG